TTTTATGCCATACAATTTTCGTTTAAAAAGTTTTTTCCTATCTGCAATAGTTACCGAGATAGCATAAAGGGGATGAAACTTTGAGGGGCAGTTTCACTCCTTAAACCTGAGTCATTGTCAATAAAAAAATATATGGATGTTTTATCTTTGGCCACTCTACAAATATGCCAAGTTTCGCCAAAATCGGAGACACACACCCCGCGGATGTTCCTCGTCAGTGCAGCGAGCATTAATGTCCGGAGCCTTTTACTCTTAAACACCCGGTATATGTAATCATAAACGAAAGTTTCTCTCTCCGGGAGAAATTACGTTGATAGACGTATGCAAATCGCAGCGTGGCGTACCGCGACGGCCGTGACGGAAAAACGAAGGCGACGGAATCGCATCGGCTCTCCCTGCGCCGCGGCCTCGTATCGGCGCGCAGCTCGTCCGGAAGAAAGCGAGTGAGAAAAACAAGCGTGTTTATCGTTAAAAATTCAACGACCCCCGCTGTTGTAGCCTCGCTTGCTCGCTCGCTCGCTCGCGGTGTCGCCGGAAGCCGATGAAAAAGAAAGCACACTTTTCCCGCACAGCGAAACAGCGAATTAATATTCAAATGACAAATGGCTCGCCTGAAGTTAGGCCGGCAGGCCGGGAGGAGGGGGGAACCGAGGATCCCTTATAATTATTGGAAAACGCGGGTCTCTCTGGCTGGTGTGCGCGGCGGAGAGGGGGGGAGCTAAAACCGAAAGGGTTTTCGCTCCGTCCTCTTCCCTCGCGTGTCGCGCCGCGCCGCGGGAAAACGCGAGAAGGGGGGAATACAGCGCGCTTATTCGAAAGTAATTAAACTCGCCGCTCTTATAATTCGACTACTTTCCACGTCGCATCGCGCCGCCGTGTTACTTTCGAAGTGAGTCGAAGGTACAATCGCGAGCCCGCGCAGCGCCTCGCCTTGGCGTGCGTTTGTTTGTTTGTTCGTCGCGGCAAAAAGTTCACATAATCACAGCTGATTCGTGCGACGCACGATATGGTTGACGGCACCGCGTCTGCGGTAGCGTCGGATGGAAATCCGTTTTTCCCCATCACACCGCGCTGTTTCCCTAGGGCTGTCGCGTGTTGCAATTTTGATCAATCGCGCGCGTCATTCCGACGAAGCTCCCGCCATTTTCGCGGACAACTGTAATTCGTCGTTTACGCCACCGAGCGGCGGCGATCGAGCGATCGAGCGCTCGCCAAGGATCGGTGCATGGGGGAAGGGGGGAGACTGAGTAAACAGACAGACGCGTTATTTATTCAGCACTCGAGAGTGTTGTCCCTTCGAGCGCTGGAGAAGATGCAAAATTAAGTGCAAGAAATGGGATAACACGCGTTCCTGTCCGCACGATTGACACCGAATGTATGCCGAGCGAAATGCAGCGGAACGTGTGCAAAAGGCAGGATAATTCGTTGGAAACCGAAACCCGAATGTCGAAACAATCGCCCGAGGTGCAATTTCACCGAGACGTCTTGTTGTAGGGTTGCCAAATCCAAAAGTTAAAATTACCGGACATTTCCTCTCTGGTAACAAAGCCAAACCAGACTAAACCGGACAGAAATAATAATCATAACGTTATATTAAATACAAAATATGACAAGAATTTATTTACAACATTAATTTCCAAACAATTTTATAAACAAAATTTGATTGAATAAAATAATAAACTATTACTTTTTTAATATATTACTTTTTTAATATATAATACATTTTATTATTGGACACAAAACTAAACAATGTTTTAGCGACAGGTTTTCCTCATTCCAAGCGCCTGCTAGCGGAGTGTTACGAGGATCGGCGAATGATGGATCGGCGGATCATCTGCTAGATGGTATTGCTTCTCGTGGTGCTCGATCGTTTGTAGGCGCTTGAAACGGAGAAACGTTGCCAAAATCTGCACTCTCATTCCATTGATTGAATATAACTTAAAAATCGGACATGTGACGTCCGGTTTAACTTGTTAATCGGACACCGGACAAGACTTCTGAAAACCTGATAGTCCGGGTTAAAACCAGACGGTTGGCAATCCTAGTTATACCCTGCATCCCAGAATTCCGCCCCACTTTCGACTCGAACTGTCCGACATCCACAAGTCCCATTATAAAGAACTAATTTAATTTATATAGAAAGTCTGAAGTCGCGCGTCTACTCCCGGCGAATGTCTACGAATGACGGGAGACGCGCGTTTTACCGAATCTCTCCGAAGAAACTCTCGGCAAGACTGTAGATTAAATAGAACCAAAGTAGATTGATATTAGCTTCGGGCTATTAAATTAGCGTTATATTATATTAATTTGATATTGAGGTCGAAAAGATCATATTTCGGCACTGTAGAATCGGCTTCATTAGAATCTGTTCAAACGTCTACTCAAATGTCAAAACCATAAACGTCTCCTCAAATAGATAGATATTAATATATCTGTATGTGTGTGTGTGTGTATTATTTCTGGAATGAAAGTCCTCCTCGGAAGAATCGTGCACTTCGGGAAATTACACTTTGGCATTCCTTATTCGGCATTCGGCATTTGTTATTCGCATGCGAAGTTTGAATTTTCCCCAGGGACGATGTGTGTCCACCTTTCCCCGCCCCCTCTCCCCCCCTCTTGTCGTCACACAAGCAAGGTCAAGTACGTCGTGCTGTGCGAGTCTTTGGTTAATCGTTCGCCACGAAGGAGCAGCGACGGAGTGATCGAGCAGCCGACGAGCGACGCGACGCGACGCGACGCGACGAAGCGGAGGGTGAAGGGTGACACCGCGAGTCCCAGATGAATCGCAATCGTCGCCGCAAAACCCATTGAAGCTCCCGACGAGCCCGAGAGCGAATTCTCCGCGTGAGAATTCCGCGCGAGGCGCCTCGGCTGAAGGCGCCTCGGCTGAAGCTCGGCGTGCGCGCTGAAATAAACGGCATCGCGCGGATATAATAACGTCGTTATATCCGTCGCGCTCCGCGCGGGGAGGCGCGAGGAGACAGGCGTATCCGGTCACATTTTACGATCCCTGCTCGCCGCGGGCCACGAATATCGCGCTCCGTGAGAGAGCGACCCGCTGCGGGAAGAAAAAGGGAGGAGTGCTTCACTCTCGCGCGCCGCACAGCTCGGGCGCTTTTTTAAAAACGCCCGGGATAATTGTTCGTGGATCTCTTTGAGACGGCGTGCGCAGCGTTGATCCGCCTCGTCGCTCCGCCGCAAACTTTGTGAAGAATTAATTCCATGGTCGGATGGCGCGTATTCTGGGCGAACACGCCGGCTGTGTACGCGGGTGCGCGCGCACGCGCATGTGTGTATGTGTACGTTGTGTGTCGTATGTGTGGGCATACGTGTGTGTACATCCCTCTGCGAGTTACCGTGCGAGAAAATTGGACCGCGGAAAATTTCTACCGCGTGTGTCACCTCTTATGCCCGTTCACTTGCCGGAGTCTACGCGCGCGTAATTAGCGACGTTAAAAGTGGCGGGAGGGAGCCCGCCGGATTTTTTCCCTTGCGCCCGACTTGACGCACAACTGCGTCGCGAATTTACGGCGGACTAATTGCAACTTTTAGTCCAGATTTGTTACATTAAAGCGACAGCAGCAGTAGCTTCGTGTCTCACGAAGGCAGCGTGCGCCGGAGGTGTCTTCATCCCTCTCGGCCGGAGTGGATTTTGGGCGGGCAAAATGAGATTTCAGACAATTCGCAGAAATTCTGCGGATATTTTTTTAATAATCGGCAGAAGACACAAGCGACTCGAGAATGACGGACTCTAATTCCGATCTGGAATTGATCCACAACTATCTTTTTAAAATTCTATCGACATCAGCTGACCGACTCGAAATTTCCTGAAATTTTTTAGGTTATCAGGAGAGAACATAAGCGGGCAAAAACGATGATTCATAAAATCGCGAATCGATATAAAATCAACCCTTAAGGATCCTCTTAGATATTAACGATTCAACCGAATGAAACCGTTGATGTCAGCTGATCGACCCGAATTTTCCTAAATAATTTATGCAATCGGCAAACGTGTTGACGACTCCTAATTTCGATTCAAAATTTCGCGTGCTACAGTCGATCTAAAATCGATCGGTAATCACGCTCTTCGCAGACTAACGGTTCAACCGGTTGAGGTTATAAATGTCAGCCGATCGACTTCAGTTTTTCTGAAATTTTTCAGGTAATAAAAAGAACACGAAGGACTGAGAAACGACAGCTCGTAAAATCGCGCGAGTCGACATAAAATCAACCCTTAAGCACCCTCTTGGAAACTAACGACTCAACCGAATGAAATCGTTGATATCAGCTGATCGCCTCGAGTTTTCCTAAATGATTTATGCAAACGGGTTGACAACGACGACTCCTAATTTCTTTTTAAACTTCCACGTGCTAGAGTCGATTTAAAATCAACCCATAAGCACCCTCTTCGCAGACTAACGACTCAACCGGTTAAAGCTATAAATGTCAGCCGATCGACTCGAGTCTTTCGGAAATCTTTCAGGTAATAAAAAGAACATGGACGACTCAGAAACGACAGCTCGTAAAATCGCACGAGTCGACATGAAATCAACCCTTAAGCACCCTCTTGGAAACTAACGGCTGAACCGATCGAAACTGTCGATGTCTATCGACTCGAATCTTCTTAGATTTTTTATGCGATTTGCCAAGAATACAGACAGGTTGACAAAGAGGTCTCTAATTTTCATTCAAAATTCCATGCACTGTAGTCGATCTAAAATCGACTCGCGAGCATCCTGCTCGGAACTGAAAGCTTAATCGATTTTAAGCTACCGATCGACCAGCTGGTTGACACGAATCTTCGGGGATTTTTTCTTGTATTCGGCAAAGATCACAAACGGGTTGAGAGCGACGACTCCTAATCTCATAATCGCTCGCGCTATAGCCGACGTAAAGTCGAGTCATAACCACCATCTCCGGAGACTGCGGAGCGCGGCGTCAAAGACGTTGCAGTATGCACAAACAAGATTCAAGGATCGCAGCGGCGATAAGGGTCTTACCTTATCAGGACGTACTCTATCCCCGGTAATCCGTACACCTAAACTCTCCTACGGCAGCTAAACATCACGAACCGCCCTTAACGGCCTTAGGCAACACGTTCACCACCTTTCAGCACCATACACGACGACCTCGAGCATAGGTACACCAATCCCGCGGGGCTCACGTGTCCAGCCTAGCGCGGAGTTAGCCGCGTGGACGCCAATTACGAGCTCCTTCGGGACGCACTTCAGGACCTCACGGACGATCTCGAGCAGCGAGCGACAGTCCTTCCGCCTTGTCCTGTCATAGTCACGTCTAACGCGTCTCTGTCTCCCCTCGAGACACGAAATTTCCGAGCGAACAGTGGGACTCGTGATCGTAAACAGGCCTCCCGACGAAGAGCCTCTCAGAGTCTCGAGGAGTCCCGGTCGGCGCGTTTCCCACCCACACGGACAGCTACGGACCGACGCTGGCGGTCACGTGGCGAGCGACTTGGCCGAGCAGCGGACGGAGCCGGCGGAACGCGTTGCACCGTCTCGGTGATCCGTCGGGGACTGCGTTCGCCACGGCTCCCCACCAGGAGCCTCAGGGGTTGGACGCCCCCGCGTCGGTTCGGCACCCCGACGCGCGACGTCGCTCCGCCTCCACGTGGAACGCCGAATCCCCACCTAGCGCGTCGGGGGTTTGAACCCCCGGTGGACGCTGACGGCGTCGTCTTAAGTCGACCGCGACGCCGGCAGACTCGCCGCCGCGGTCGTCGGCGAGCCGGTGAACAAGGCTGGACTCGGGGGTGCTAACGATACCGTGAAAGTATCGGCACTCTCTATCTCTCTCGCTCGCTCGCTCGCTCGCGCGCGCGCACTTCTTCGCGATACTTTGGTCCATTTAACGCGCTCGCGATACTTCGGCCATTCGGCCGACTTCTCTCTGCGCGGGGTGAAGCGCCGTTTCCGAGGGCTGTCGTGTGTTGTCGGTCGGCCGCAGGCGGAAGTGGAAACAGACAGCGGAGGCCAGACACGTCTTGTGATGTCGAGAGAGACGGCGATGCGAGAAGTTAATAGACGTGGCTTGATTAATTTAGCTCAATTTGGATTTCATTACCTGTAATCCATAATTTAGGTTCGTAAGCTGAGCCACATTTAATTTAGATCCTGCGAGTATATTTATTTATTTATCACCGCGCTTGTTTACGTGAAGGTCGCTTCCGTCAACTGTTACATATTTCCTTAATACGCGCATATCATGCCAGTTTCTCTCGACATGTGCATCACACATGCACTTTTCAAGTTTATTTTGAGTTAGATTTGTGTTTCTTATATCTCTTGGCGATGTTTTGGAAATTGGTCACATCGAGTAATTTGATGAAAGAGCGCGGGCCGACGGTTTGGTTTGCGCATTGCGGCCGAGCTGCAAAATTAAAGGAGAGAAAAACGAGATATCACATCTCTCTCTCTCTCTCTCGCGAGAGAGAGAAAGATCACGCGCTGCGACTCTTGGCGACGCTTGACGCAGGGCTTAACAAATTGACGTTACAATTTATTTAAAAGTCACAATAATCTGGAAAGAATGAAACCATTCGCAAATTGCGCGTCATTTGCACTAATGCGTGTATGCGACGGTTATACTGTCTGGAGCAAAAGAATTCCGCGGCGCCTTCATGTTTATTCAGCATTTTTAATGGCGCCTCTCGCTTGTTATTCTCCGCTCTTCCGCGCCTTCCCTTTGTCTTCGCCGCGCTGCTATTGCAGTTTCTCGCATAAATTTAATAATTAACGGGCACAGGACATCGGGAAGGCATTTAATATTGAAATAAAGTACGTCGCGCGCGCGCGCGCGGTCAATCCTATTCGCATAACGAGATAATGCAATACGAAAATTGAATTCATGCGATATTCATGGCGTCAACGATTTGATTGCGGGCGCGACGGACAAATAAAAAATTTCACGCCCGGTGAATATTTACAGGCACACCCAATTAATTTCCGCATGATACGCGACGCGTGAAGCCCCTATTCGCAAATGAATATACTTTCTGGGCTGCGCGTTACGAAAATCTTTTATGCACGCGCGTATTTCCATAAAAATAAATTGTTCCGCTCTTCAATGTTTTACGAGTATTTCTGCGCGCACGCGCGCGCGCGGCCGGGGCGAAATTCGTCGGTGGCGATAAAAAGGGCTCTCGCCTCGAAAAATGTTTAAAAGCGGGATGTACTTCCACCTGCTACTTTTATATCCATATCGTAATATTATTTCCCATGAACACACACTAATTTCGCGAGAACTGAGAGAGACTCCTCCCTTTCCTTGCCTTGCCTTGCCATGCCTTGCCTGTTTTCATCTCCCTCCCTTTCTTGGCGCCGTTAATCCTTGCGCGAGATACACGTTTCCGTCGAAAAACGTGACTCAATAAAAAAGAAAAGGAGACCCGCGCACCGGGCCGCGCATAAATTGAATAATTCTTTATTAGTCCGTCAAAAAATTATTCGCCTCGCTAAATGCGCGTTTACGGCGGCTTCCAAAGAGAAACGCCCGAAAATGACGAGAGGGGCTCGCGACGGTCTCCAATTGAATTCTCCCTTTTGCGCGACATTAAAACCTTGCATTTGTAGCAATTTTACGAGAGTCCGACGCGAGCCCGGCCGTGATATCGCGTTTACGACTCCGCTGCTCGCGGCCGATCTTCTTCGCGTGGCTTTTCCGCTCCGAAAGATACATATCCACTTTGTGGATACACGGAAAAGTCGCACCCCTCCCTCCCCCGCGAAACAACCATCGAGAGGAGGAAGAAGAAAAATCAGCGCGTCTCCTTGCGTCCTCGAGAGCCCGAAGCAGACTCGCCGCGCGAGTTGGTCGATTTCTCACGGGCCACCGTGTATATACTCGGCTGTTACTACTTCGTGTCCCAGACGCGCAAGATCAACGTCATTAGCAGCATCGACAATGGATGTCCATCGCGCGCGATCCCGCGGACTAATTACGACCGCGGACGTACACACGCCGCAAGCCCAAAGCAGCCGTGAGTGCGCAAAAAGAGGCTGCAGGTGCGTGCGACGCTCCGTAGCCGCGTACGATACGTTCGCCGGTGCCATTAACAAACCCCCGGCCCGGCCTCGCCTCGGCCCGCCTGCAATTTGCGCTGAAACGCGATCGTAATCGACTTTGTCGATTGAGCAAATTCCGATGCGCGGCCCCTTAATATCGGGAAATTTCATATTTCCCCCATTTAAACGCGTAATTCAATCTAAGTACATGTGGCATTAATTCTCCGGTGTAGCCTGCGGCAAGAGAGTCCGCTCTATATTCGCGCGGTATCTGCAGCCGCGCGGCCCCGACGCGACGGAAAGTGCCGCGCGTCCCGACGCGACGGGACGTGGGAAAAATTCATACGCGAGCGCTCGATAATTTGCCCGCCGCTCTCGCGCGGCAGCGAGCCCTTCTTTACTTCGATAAAGAGCGCGGGTCTTTGTACAAACATTCCGTGCTCGGCGAAATTGTCGCGGGGATTCATCCGATGCGGAAATACTTCAGCAGAAAAGATGCTCTCCAACCCTGCCTGACTCAATTTTTTTTCATGAGTAGACAAAAATTATCTGACGCGAAACCAGCGGATACTAGTCTCCACGTGTAGTTACGAATTAGCAATTAATTAATAGTAAACAACTATAAAATATATACTAAGTAATGAAAATATATATAATGAAAAAAATATATACTAAATAATTATAATAATTTATTATAAGTTATTTATTATAATTTATTATAATTATGATGAATAATTATAATTGATACTGACAATAATTAATTGAGAATAAGTCAACAATTATAATAATTTATAAAAATAATTTATAACCTGCAAAGATCTCGCTTTCGGAAAATGGTTTGTAACTTTGGAGTTACAATGGAGTGCAATGTCTGCATTATATGCGTGTATGAGTTAAGTTAGAAATATTGATGTATCAGTGTGCGATTTTAAAGTTACCTGGCGTTGTCGAGGATTAATTTCAATGATCGCTTGGTCTGGGACATAAGGCTGCTATCTCTGTTCAAAGTCTGTACATCGTCTTTTGTAATGTATTTACATTATTCGTCGTTCGCATTTACATTATTTGTACATCGTACGTATTTTCCAGCACAATATATATCTAGATATTTGGAGGCTTGAATCGGTGTTTCATAGTAATTTTCGAAGTAAAGTCGACCTCACTTATGGAGGGGTCGAAACATCGTGGTCTATGGTGGACCACACAAACACACACACATACACACACACACACAGTCATCCGAAGTAAAACTAACCCAACTTATCGAAGAAGTAAAGTTCACACACAGTCATCTAAAGTAAAACTAACCTAACCTACTGAAGAAGTAAAGTTGGGGTATGCTCGGAAACGCGTGTTGGTCTACTCGTAGCTTCCTCCCCGCTTAACACGGTAGGTATTTTTTAGGTCACAGATGGACCTAAAGAAAAAGAGGGAGAGAGAGAGAGAGAGAGAGAGAGAGAGAGAGAGGGGGGGGAGGGAGAGGAACATGTGCCCAACGTTAGAGCAATATTTTGACAACGGAATATGAAGAGCGACAAAGGAATCATACGTCACCGCGGTATTAATAAGAGATATTCCAGCTTGTACTTGATGCGCACGCGGGCGCGAAATATTTTCGCGCTTACGTTTCCGGAGCGCGCGGCACGAGAGTGTTTTCCGACGAAGCTCTCGAGGCGCTGGGCGCACGCGGTGCTTCTCCTTCCGCCGGGCCCGAAGAAAAAGAAAGAGAGACTCGAGCTCACCCTCTTGGCCCCCGCCGCCCGACCCCTCAGGTCGAAGGTAGTGACATCGGTCTCGAGTGTTTTTATTCCATTACCCCAGCGCGCGGCGCCATCCTCTTAACCACTTACTTAACCCACGACCTTCGGCCTTGTCTCCCCCTCGTTCGCGCTTGATGGCCTTCGAAAACTCAAATATTATCCGTCGTTCGATCCCACTCCCGCGCCCGTTGTCGAGAAAGGGGACGCAAGAAGGGGGCAAGAGAAGACGGCGTAGGACGTCGAGGACGAGGATCCTCCACGATCGACCCCGTTCCGCGCTCCACTACGTATCCCTGCGAACGCCTTAAACCTAATTCCCGTCGACGCTGACGGCGTCAATAATGTTTCTATCGGCCACCGTGATTCTCATTTCATTACCGGCCGCGAGTGCCGATACACCGACACCCGGTCCTCCTCCCGTAGCGCGCCCCTGCCCCCCTCCAGGGACTTTTTGCGAGACCGCGATGGACGTGATCGCGCGCGCCTTGCCGCCCCAGCGAGGACGGTGTCTCGGACAGTGCAGGCGCGATTGAAAAAAATTGACTTAAGGAAAGTTTGATCGTTTAAAGTTCCTAACATCTCGACGTCGGGATCCTTTTTTGCGCGGGGAAACTCCGGGTCCTTCCGGGGTGAGGGGCTCTCTTTTATTTGTTTTCTTCTCGCCCTTTTTCGCGCGAGATTTTTTGTATCGGCGAATTCGTTCGGCCGAGGCATTCGAATTCCACCATAGAAATTTCTCGGGACTTTTTTT